GTAGCTCGATCCAAAACAAGATTAATGTCTTCTTGCTGTCCCAAAGGAAAATTAGTTAATGTTTTGGCTATAGAATTKAGAGCAACTCCAAATGGAGGTACACTCTGGTTGAGGTAGATTAATGAATTAACAGCCATAATCAGAACACCGCCTATTGGACGAGATACAGCAATCACTTTTTGACAATCATATGGAAGTGAATCCAAAGACCAAATTACTGGATGGACATGCTGTTGAATGTTTAGCGAAATAGCAACCTGCAAAAGATTTTTTTTTAATTTTATAAATTTTATAAATAAAATARATGTAGATATTTTACAAAAACATACCATTGCACATGTGTCTTTTCTTACAGCTATACGTCCAGCAAAAGTCTTAACTGGCTCATAGAGAATAAGTAAAGTTGGTTCATAGTATCCATGTAGAAAATCAAAATCCATAATATTATTCATCTTGGGATCTATTGAAGATATTGATATTGTATAGCTGGGCATAACTTGAGCACCTTTAGCATTGTCATCAATTGTACGGCCAAAAGGTAGAACAATAAAATAATTGCCATAAACTAAACCAACTACACATCGGCCATCTGGATCTACTCTGATCAATGGTGGACTCCAATGTTGAGTGTGGCCATTTTTAAATTTGTCGTCTTCGAAATAATGCAAAGACAATGTACGTAGACTGTGTGTGTCACGATCATACTCAACTAAACTAAACTTGGCCTCAGAGAAGCTAAGTAATAAAGCATCTGGTGAGCTCGGGCACAATGTTACTGATTGTAGGCACATTATATTACCAAACAACGTGTATTGGGCCAGACATTCAAATTTGGTTTTAGGTGGCTGACATGTTGTATCGGTTGGTACCAATCGGTAGACCCGTAGAATGTTTACACCGGCCACCACTAAACATTTTTCCACACGATTGAAGAAATAACAATAAACAGCATGCTCCACGCAAGTTGGTATACGGGTTTGTTTGCACAGCGAAAACATTATGGTCAATGTAACGAAACTTCGTTGACTAGTTAATTACTAACATCGGTACAGAGTACGCGCCGTACGCAACAAACAATAAAATATAACTTAATAACACATACTTTTTAAGATTTAAATTAATTTACTATACGACTGTCGGAGAAATTGAAATAACGAATTTTTCTTTGAAATAATAAACAAAATATTTTACAAATTACAAATTGTACCTACATTACAACTCAGTTGTCAATCGTCAATGGACGATAAAATAATAATATAATGTTATTTAATGTTCTGTTAGCCGCTTCGTTTTTATCATTTATCAACGTAAACATAACCTTAAAAAATGATAACAAGGGTAAATRTCAAATGATAACGTTTCGTTTTTCTCACGATTTAAGATAATATATCTTAAATCGTGGTTTTTCTATAATTTATAATAGGTATCCTAGTATCCTACGGTACTCCGAATCCGATCGGCGAATACGATTCAAGATATAAGTGATTTCGAATTTCAATCCACGGTCTACGGATTTTAGTTAAGAGTACGTAACARTGGAATTTGTTGTCTCCGTCTTACCAGTGCGTAATATAGCAAATTTACGCTCAGCAGAACACTTGTAGCTCCTTTAGTTTAAAAATTACAGTGAATCGACCTATTATGAAACTTGATGCCTTGATGGTACGAACATTATCTGTGTTTGTACGCTGGTTTTTTACGATAATTCAATTTTGAAGTGAGTTATTAGCATTTTTAATGTACTGTATATTATATTATGCTCATAACTCACTTAAAAATTTAATTATCGTAAAAAAACCAACGTACAAACACAGATAATGTTCTTAACATCAAGTTTCATATAATCTGTGATATAAGCGAACGTATATTATAAGACACTATACAGTTTTGCCTTTACGATAAAAGTCATTATATACAGTTTTGTCCGGTCAAAATCCGAAATATGATATTTTGCCGAAGGATTGTGGGCAGTTATGAATTGAACATTTGAACGTCTAAGCAGCCATGGCCCATGGTTAGTGTTCAATAAATTTGTGGGCAGGGGCACGACCGTGTACACTAAATATAAATTGTACTCCGTTGAATTCATTATGTAAACTAGAATAATATGATCTTAAGAAACGATTTGGGCTCAAGTTCACCCTTAACGTGAAATTTAAATAGTATAATAATATGATTTACATATTATCATACTTCCTGGTATTAATTGTTTTAACTTGTGGCATCACGTCACACGCCTACCGAAGGATCTGACCGTAAAAAACTTACAATAATTGTACTATATTATACTAAATATACTTATTATACCACCTAAATGGGCTATAATTGTTGTAGGTAGGTTTACGTTGTTGGCTTGTTGTCAATACAACAATCTATCACACATTCATGATTATTTCCTTCATTTATCTTCAATTCTTTAACCATAGTAGACATCCTTGATGGTTTTTTTTATAGTCAAAATTAAAATATAGAAGTAATTGATASGCGTTATTATACAATACATTGGGGATTGTAGTAATTGGTAATGGGGTCTAACGTATACCTAATATGATTAGAAACGAATATCGSTTAACAATGAATTTGTTTTTTAGGCTACGTTGCCAAGTTTATAATTTTAAATTATTCATATTATATATTATTAAAACAATGATTCATTATAACTACGTTACAAACTGAAATAAAATGATTCAAAAYAATAGGTAATGTTTAAAATGTTGATTAAAAAAAAATTCTATATAGGTAAATACTATAAACTATAATAATAACTAATGGGTACAAGATACCTACTGTTAATAATGTGTAATAACAAATAACTAATAAGTTACAAGCAAATAAATAAAAAACCTAACCTAAGAGAGTTAACTCCTTGTCTCTTTCGGACATCGGACATAATTATTGGTATTTCTATATCGAGGAGAACGAAACGAACACGACACGAACGAATCACAAATAAAAGTGTATGGTTATACGAATCGAGCTGGTTTCCATCAAATTAATATAGATAGGTAGACCTAGTATCAGTGGCGTAGACATGATTTCTGAAAGGGGGGGGGATCAAAAAAAAAAAACTACAACTAAATGGGAGGTGAAAATTGGAAAATCCCCCACCCTCTCAAAATTTTTTTCTAAGGTTAGAAGGTTTAATGTTTATGGTATTCATGTTTAGCATGATTATTTAAAGTCTAATAAAATTAATAAAAAATAAATTTTAAATATTTATAATATTGAAAAATTCAAAATG